ACTTTCCCCCCCCCCCCCAAAAGACCCCGAAGGCGCGGACGCCTTGGGGGAAAACCCGGGGATGCATGGTATATGTCCCCCCCCCCCCCCCCCAAATGACCCACCCACCCCCAAATGACCCCGATTTTCGATTAGTAGGCATATGTGCCTTGAAATTTTGCACACCCTGTACAAAAAACTCCATTTGCCATTTGTTTGGTTTGACAAATACTTGTTCAGAATCGTGTGCAAATATTTGTCTCTTAGACAAATACTCGATCAGAATCGTGTGCAACTATTTGTCTCTAGACAAATACTGGGTCTGAATCGTGCGCAAATATTTGTCTCCAGACAATACTGGGTCAAGATCGTGCGCAAATATTTGCTTCTAGACAAATACAGGGTCAAAATCGTGTGCAAACTACCGTTGTATTTGCAAACAAATACTTGGTCAAAAGTATGAAACCTGGGTGGCTGGATGAGTTCAGAATTCAAAAGAGCACGTGTAGCATGTGAGCTCGATAGAGACTCAGTGCAAATCGATAAATAAACTGAAACCATATGGTATTTTCCTAGAAATTTACTAGATTGACGGAAACAACCACGTGATGCCCCCCTTCATATGTCTAAACAGAAAAAACAGGTAGTAACTCTCGATCTCCCACTTTAGGCAAAAGGTAAATAAACGCGACAAGAGCAATCTCCCCTACCTACTCCTGGACAAAAAAAAAGCGCACCGGAGCAATTTGCCCAACCCGTACCGTCAGGTTGCTGCGGAGAACTATCCATTATTTGCGCCAGCGCCAGAACCACCTATGTATCTATCCCGTACGTCACCCGAACAATGCTGTACCGTATGTATGTATGTCCAATCACCACACGCAAACACCTCTCTCTCTCTAGACTGGGACTTTCGGCGCCCGTGCTCCGCTACGTATGCGCATGACGCATATATCGGAGGAGAAGTAAGAAGAGGCGCTATGCACATGAGGAGCAGGCATTTAGAATGCATCCCTATTACTTTAGATGCCTCATATGTAATTATTCTTGTATTTGTTTTGTTTCCAGCCAAACACCCTCTGGATGAGGCCTCATATCTAATTGTTCTTCCACTTGTTCCCAGCCAAATACTCTAGGCAGAATGTGTGCAACTATTTGTTTCCGGACAAATACTCGTTCAGAATCGTGTGCAAATATTTGTCTCCAGACAAATGCTTGTTCAGAATCGTGTGCAAATAATCGTCTCTTAGGGGTATTGTTGACGCAACGCAAAAAAAACGCATTTCTTCACGGAACGGTGAAAAGAACATCCGACTATTTTTCGCTTGTTCTAATCGTGATGTCATCGCGAAAAGTACGTTTCCTTCCCTGAATACACGTTTTGCTCGACACACAACAGGTTGACATGGTATAGCTCACAATAGAGCAGCGGTGAAAGCGCAATGAGCAGCACCCGACACAGAGGACAACACACTTAGAAAGATCGCGTCCACCTGGCCTGCTGTTTTCAGTTTTCAGCAACAACAGGCGCAGGGCAGAGTGTCGCCACCTGGGTGTTGCTTGCGATTTCTTCAGTTTGCCAGCTCATTTTTCACGGTTGCGACTCCCATCTTTGACCACCACCTGCCCAAAGGTAGACGAGCTCAACAATCATAGGGCGGCAGCCGCGCTGACGGCCAGCATCATATAGATGGCCAATCCGAAAGAATAAGCGTGTCGGAGGCCCTGTTGCTCTACTGCTGCGTGGTGCCGTGGATTGATGTTGATGCGTCCGACAAAAAACAGATCATCTCGCCGCATTTTTTCCAACGGCATTTTGGTGAGGTGGCACACGTCTCACACACTTTATTGAGATACACCCAAGCACCCAATACCCACGAAGCAGCACGGCGCCGGGAGATGGTATCATATAGACAGCCGAACCGAAGGAATCAGCGCGTTGGAGGTCTTGGTGCTGCTGCTGTACTCGATCTACTGTTTCCGTGTTTAGTATGTGTGATTGAAAAAAATCCCCCAGCACCAACAGCAGCAGTTGAAGACGAGAGCACCACGCAATGCCTAGTTTTGGGCCAAGAACGGACTGAACGCCGCTTCTGCCGCTTGTCCATCTCCACAACAGCCCTGGACGTGAGTCTGGCAGGTCTTTCTAGCGTTCTCCGTGATGTTACAGCGCCCGCGGTGCGCTTGTCCGATGCTTCTGTCAAAGACACGGATTCGTGAAAGTAGCAAGCCCCAAAAAATCCCGGCTCCTTCTTTTCACGTTTTCGGGGAAAAACGCCTCCATATATGTTCAAGAAAACACGCTTCCGTGGAATATTCAGTGTTTTTTTCGTCGTTAATAATACCCCTTAGACAACTACTCGTTCAGAATCGTGTGCAAATATTTATATCTAGACAACTACTTGGTCAAGATCGTGCGCAAATATTTATTTCCAGACAAACAAGGGGTATTTGCGGCCGCGCGCAAATACCATGCGCGCAAAAACCATTTGTATTTGTTCATATGTACTCCCCAAACCCCAAAACAATTAATTAAATCAAATACCCCCATATATATAAATTATATGTATGTACTCCCCAAACCAAAAACAATTAATTGAATCAAACACCCCCATATGTATAAACTTTTTGTTTGTACAGGGTGTGAATTTTTTTCGCACAGACCCTTGGGGGTCCGGTCCTGAGAAAAAAACGATCCTGTCGCTGCCGTCAAAGGCCTTCATTCTTCACCTCTGGATGCAAATCAAAGGTGCTACTGGTTGGAATGATGGCGATCGAGTATTTACCCGTTCTGCTGTAAGCGTGAATCTATTCCTCTCACCTTTCGTGGGTTTCCCACTCGGCAGGCACGTGGTAGCCGTCGAGGAGAGGCGTACTGCCGAGGCAACCCGAGCTGCCCTCCCCTGGAGCCATGTGTCGAGATGTCTTGTTCAGCCTGTGAGCCAAAGCATCACGTGTACTACGATACAACCTGCGGGTCACCACCACACTAGTGCTGGACGAAGCGATGGTGCTATCAGGGCATGCATGGACATGAACCAAGATGTAAGGAATGGAACGGGAGTCAAAACACCAGGTGAGCGTCCTGCGCGTGGCACGCACCACAGCAGTTGCAGTTCTTGGTGTGGTGGAGGCCCGTCAGGTGCAGACAGGGCGGTAGGGGGGGGTGGGGGGGTCGGCATGTACACCACGCGGGTGAGCGGTGACAGCTCTCTCACTGCCCTGTGCCTGCCTTGTCGACCCCCACACATAGGAGGTTAACAGAAATGTCTGGATTCAGAGGAGGAGGGAGAGGTGGTGGGCGTGGAACACCCAGAGGTGGTGGTCGTGGCGGGAGAGGTGAGTAACTCTGGGCGTATTAGAGGATCATTGGCCTATTTTGGCTCAGTCACGCACAGCCATAAAAATCTTTCAAACCCGCGTGTAGACTGGTCATCACGAAGGCAGTGAGTGACCCAAGTCGGTGCGTGTTTCAATGACTTGTCTTGGACAACTCGTACACTTGTCATCCCCCATGTCAAACTCGTTATCTTTTTTGCCGGTGTCGGTGTAACCTACACTGCGTACATTCGTATGGCCCTTGTGCACATGGTACATATCTTTCGCTCACGATGTCCTCCCAGAGCCACGGTATGGCTCCTCTTCCATCTCGCAAGATGTTGAGCTAAGTGTCACTGGATTTGACTTACAATGTTCGAATTGAGCACATCTGCCGTGCAAGCGCCCCGAAATTCTTTCCGGAACAGGTCTATCTCTTGTTGCATGATTGCCCTGCGCAGCACCACCCATCATGATATTTCGATGCGCCTGATACACAGAAGTACAACGTGAGAAGCAAAAATAGCAGCGGTTGCATACCACACACTCCAAGCCAAGCGCCAAGCGTATGGAGCTTGTCACACCTAGCACAACCCTGGAATTAAGTGTCAACTTCCTACCCTTCCCTCCAGGGCTGCAGGGGACTTGGACTGTCACTGTTGCTTTGCCCGGCATGTATGTATTGAAATGTATTGCGACTTGATTTTTAGAAAGTTGATTGTTTTTGACAACCTCCTCCCTCCGCCAAGCTGGTGTTGGTCTCTTTGTTACAAGCCCCCCCCTGGTTACTCATGTGTGGAATCGCAGCACCAGATTACTCCATTGCACAGCAATACAGGCAGTATCGTAGCAACATCCGTTGCCACCACAGAGATACGTGGCTTGTAAGGCCATATGCAGTAAGAGAGAACCGGAACAAAAGCGCCAGTCGGTTGTAGGGTGCCGGATGGGGTTGGCCAAGACGAGACGATCTTATGCATCTGCCAGCATACATGACGCAGATAATTTCTTACTTGGAAGAAGGTGAAGGATTGTCCTCCACCCCCCTACTCCCACGTTCAAACACCCAAGCTCGTTGTGTCACCTCCCCCTTCCTGTGACTGGGTGTGGGCGCGCTCGTGTCATGCGGTGGTTGTTGATAGGCAGGGAGACTTTGGTCATGGTTCGGGAACAGCACAAGGATAAGATCTCCAGTGAACACATCTAGTTTTCGAAGTTGCGCCGTGTTTCGGGGGCAGAGAAACGCGACATCAACATGCATAAACACATACTTGTTTGTGCAGCAGTTAGGGGTTCTCAGGAGTATCATACAGCAGTAGTCAGTGTGAATTGTTTCAACAGCAGTACCATATATAAGGAAAAATGGTGCCGATGCGCTCGTCGGGCATTTTCGGCACCGCCACTACGCAACCCTTAGCGGAGCTACATTGGATGTGCTGGATGCCACGGACTCTTCGCTAGGATTTCACATTGGATTAGTATCATACATACAAGTACTTTGGCAAGAATGTCTATCTCTACTTAATCGCACGCTTATATTCTATTGTGTCCCTCGTGTGTTGGTGAAGGTGGTTTTGGCGGCCGTGATGGTGGGCGTGGTGGACGGGGTGGGGGGAGGGGAGGAGGGCGAGGAGGCGGACGAGGGGGGAGGGGAGGAGGGCGAGGAGGTGGCCGTGGTGGAGGGCGAGGGGGTGGCCGTGGCGGAGGCATGAAGGGCGGCGCCAAGGTCGTTGTGGAGCCTCACAGGCACGAGGGGGTGTTCATCGCTAGAGGAAAGGAGGATGCGCTGTGTACGCTCAACAGTTCTCCCGGCAAGGTGGGCTTCGAGCTGGGTATTAGGTTTTCCTAGAGGCTGTTGAATGGGCATGAGGGTTTTTGTTTCCGTGTTCGTCATGGAAGCGGCTCAATTGAATAGCAGTTTCGATGAAATTTCACATGGTCAGCAGCAATCCTCTACCGCGCTTCAACGCGCAATGGTGCACGTTCATGACCTGCTGTCGACGTTATGCCCGAGAGTAACCTTGTCATGTACCTGGTGAAGTTTCCGCCGTTTTTAGGAGTCTAGTGTCTGGGTCTAGCCCTGTCATCCGTTACATTAGAGGTTTTGCTCGAAGTTCGAGTACGTTGTTTGATCAGTTTTGTCGTCGTGCGTTGTAGAATGCGGCTCCGCGTTCGCTGTTTGAGCTACGACTACAAGTATTAGCTGGATTCACTGGTTCAAACCTCGCGAAGATGCATGCTTCAACAACCCATGTCATCCATGACTCGATCTGACCCACGCGCAGGCAGTGTACGGCGAGAAGCTTATATCGGTGGAGGCACCACCGAGCGAAGACGGCACAACATCGAAGATTGAATACCGGGTGTGGAATCCGTTCAGGTCCAAGCTTGCCGCGGCAATCCTCGGAGGAGTAGACGGCATCCACATCGTCCCGGGGGCAAAAGTACGTATCGACGTATATACATATAGTTCGGTTCGGTTTGGCCTGGTCATTCGGGTTTTTGGGCGCTTGTGGCGGGATCACTCTTGTCGCGCCTGTACCTCACTTCTTTTCGTTATATTTGTATGAAAACAAACGAGCTTGAACCTCGTTTACTCCGGGTGGGATGGAAGAAGGTAACACTGCCCTACTTGTACAACCATGTACACCACAGGTTCTGTATCTTGGTGCAGCTGCCGGGACCACCGTCTCGCACGTTGCCGACATCGTGGGGCCATCCGGGTGCGTCTACGCGGTGGAGTTTGCTCACCGTCCCGGTCGAGACCTCATCAACATGGCAAAGTCGCGCACAAACGTCATCCCCATCATCGAGGACGCGCGACACCCGCTTAAGTATCGTATGCTCGTGGGCATGGTCGACACAGTTTTCGCGGATGTTGCCCAGCCGGATCAGGTAAGACGCTCTTTTTTTCCAAACCGCGTTGCTTGATTCGAGATAAAGACAAAATTCTCTCTCCGAGGATCGCGGTGCCCGGTATGTTTCAACTATTGCCGGTTGCATAAGATACCACGCCCCCTGGACCGAGTTTCAAAGCCCGATCGATTGCGCTGCAGCACAGTGACGGTGCCGAAATCGGTATCGTTGGCACCGAGAACTTACTGAAAACGCACGCATATAGTTTGATTGTGGCATCCTCTTCTTCGTGCAGTAGTCGAGCTTGAACAATCCGTCCAGGGGGTGTGATATCATTTTGATCTCAACAACCGATCCGTGTGGAAGAGGAAGAATGCAAACATCAGTCCCACACCGTCATCAGGTAGATGTGTCAGTGATTTCTTGTCGTCGATTTTCGGACATAACTGGTGGATGGAAGCCGCCACAGCTTCAGACAAAGCGAAGTCACCCACTTGAATTGCCTAATAGAACTGCCCCACCAACGCGTCTTCCGCAAGGACGAGGTTTAAAGCTGGGTAGAGAAACACCTGCCAGACCGACTATTTTACATTTGAGGCCGCCAATGGCATTTGTCGATTTCTTCCTGTAGCACGAGATTCATGCTTGGAACGGAAGCTGGTCATGAATACTTGTCCATGTCATGCTGGGTTTTCATGAATGGTGTTTTTGTGTCGGATCCGCGCAGGCGCGTATCGTGGCGCTGAACTCGCACTACTTCCTCAAGAACGGAGGGCACTGCGTCATTTCCATTAAGGCATCGTGCGTCGACTCCACCGCATCACCGGAGGCTGTGTTTGCTCAGGAGGTATGTTTTGGCATAGTATTTTGTGGTTCGGGGACAGGACGATCACCGGGAGGAGTTATAGCTGTTTCGTTGGCCCATGTCACTGCCTGCCCATCCTTGGTTGCCACGTCCGTGGATTTTGAAGTACCTTTGGCCAAGCTTCTAGTCCCCTCGCCCACGGCTTGAAGAACAAATACACGCTTCCAGTCAAACATGGTAGCAACTTGGTCGGGTGTTGACGGTCTTGTTTGTTTGAAGCCTCGTGGTCGTTGTTGTCTTTTGGTGTGTTCGTTCCAGGTTTCCAAGCTCAAGACGGAAAACTTCAAGCCAAAGGAGCAGGTTACCCTAGAGCCCTACGAGCGTGACCACGCCGTAGTTATTGCGCTCTACCGCCCGCCCAAGAAATCGAAATCGAAGGACTGAATTAGGCACAGCTCATTTGTAAGGGTTGTGATTCCGAATGTTGGGGGCATCGAGAATGTTGAATTGAATGTTCGCGACACCAATCTCTGGAAGAGGCGTTGTTTCAGATTGCCTGTGGGAGCTTAATTTTTCTTGCTACGGAAACAATGCATGCGAGTGACTGCTTGCTGCCTTTCACCCATGGCCACCCTTTTCGTGGATTGCGTTAACTGTCCGATTGGTGTACAGCTGAAAAGTGGATACAGCTATATTATATCCCTTATTTTGAAGCCCGAGGCTATCCCCCTTTTTCGGTCACGTAATGTGGTTCCTTAAAAGCAGGCAGCCTTCAAAATGAGTCTGGGGATAGTTGAAGGTGAGGTTGTTGAAGTTTTATGGAAGCTAACGGCACCTTCCCTAGCCACAAACTAAAATATAGGACGAGTGCCTCCCGAAAGTCAAATATCCTCGTTCCCCTTAGAAACCCTGGTAGGTTCTCGGAGAATCATAGGGCCAAATAAAGAGAAGCGCTGAACGTTCAACTGAAGGTCCAAGCCCATAGCACAGAGTGCTCCCAAACCACATACTATAAATGTGCTGTGTATCTCCGGAGTAGAGCCTATGTGAGCCTAATGGCATGAAAGGGGGGTGATGCGAAATGAATGCAGTCGCAGAACCAGCCTACAGCGGTGGCTGCCAGCTGCCAGTTTTGAAGTCTTCCCCCAAAAAGCTCAAAAGCTCACACAGGTCACATGTTGGACATGTTTTCGACTCGAGGCCAGCGAACCTCAACGAATCGAACCAATTGGAAAAGTTGCGCATCTGTTAAGTGTAGCCTCAAAAGCCGATCTCGAGCTACCGCGCACGTCCTGCGACACCCGACGTATGCCTCGGTAGGGCGTTGCATATCATGAACCTCCTCCCCCAAGTTTCAGATGCTTTCGCCCACTGACTGTGGCGGTTCAACAGAGACAGGGTCCTGTTCGCAAAAAACAGCAGGCAGGGAGTAAAGAACAGGACCCGAGATGAGAAACGTCATTTCGGGTCGGCCCCCAGTTCCTTGTTGTGGGTCAAATGACCACCCAAAGGTCACCCTTTTCCCGAGCCTGTCGCACGGTCTCCTTTGCAACTACTGTAGATAGGTCAACATGTAGAAGAACCTGTGAGTGCTCCGTGCTATCTAAAATCGGGAACGGACATGTAATGAAAAGGTGTTGGCGGCGGATGGATTTCCCAAGCTCGGTAGAGCTTGGATCTCTATCGACCTAAAATTCACTTTCTGTCCCTGTTCTTTTCATTCGCATAGCGCACCCCTTGCCTGACAGGATCTCAAATGCTGATCTCCAGCTATAGTGCAACTCTTGTGGCGCCTCAAGTATGGTTCGGTAGGGAATCGTAACCCATGACCCCTCCCCGAGTTTGAGCAGCTTCCACCTCTTGTGGCCGACACGTCTCGGCCTTGACTGTTGTTCTTTGTTTCGCCATGGGAACGGCCGGTTGAACAGAGAGGGTCCTGTGTGCTTCGCCACAATCTTCCATATTTGATTATCTGCGTTGTTTGTGTTAATTTTATTTATTGCCGCAAAGCTCGTGAGGAAATCGTTTCTCTCTGTAGGTTGCGCCTATGGGTAACGATGCGCGTCTCTTTCTTTTTTCATTGTCGTCCATGAACAACAACAGCAGTTCGAGACAAAAAGAACCAACACAGGCCCATGTTTGCTGCGTACGTAATTCGGAACTTGAGCGATAAGGTCGATGGCAGCACGTCCGTACCTGTGTACGTACGCACACACGTGGCAAGCTATGAGAACGGCCGTGACCCTATTCTTGTAGAGGTGCACATCCAACACGGACGGCAGGCGTATTGAGGTAGTTTATCCGGGGTGCATTGTCTCTTCTTGAGTCATGTTCATTGTTTTCTGATGTCACTACAAAACTGTACCAAAGAAAGGAAGTCCGTCCGTAGATTCCGCAGTTTTGTTTGTGTCTGAGTAAACGAGGCTACCCGTGCACCCGGCTGCTACATGTGAGACGATGGGCGCTGCCAGGTAATGGGCGTGGCCATAATGTTTGCTGCAGCAGTGCCTATGTGAGAGCTTCCAGAGGTTTAGAGCGGCGAGGGTGCTTGTTCTATGCTCTCCTCCGCCTCCTCGCTGAGACCTGTCGGGTCGGGGTCGGGTCTGACTCTTTTTTATGGTTGTATGCATATGCATATTTTTATTATATTCATGCCTTGTTTCTTGGGGTCCCTCCATCCATCCGCCCACTCACCAATCAATTTTAGGTTTTGTTGGGAGGTGTTCTTCTTGCCATGTATCGGGTATGGCTGTGTGTGAGCTCGAGGGATAGGGTCGACGGTAGCGCGCTCATGTGCGTAGGAAGCTATGTGGGGGGTTAACGCCTTCCTTACTCTCGGTAGCGATGCGGATCCCCCACGGCAAGCAAAATACGCAAATCAATCAGGAATATATCATGATGTTCTTGTGACTACAAATGCAAGAGTTAGGCCGGGGGTATTTGGTTCTTGCCGAAAGAGCGGGACTAAACTACCGGTCCGCGTTCTGATGGTCTTCTTCATTCGGGTGGGTGTGATCGTGATCGTGCGTACCAACCAGATCATCAGCGAGCACGATTAGCGGGGTTTTTGACAGCGTGGACTCCCTCGCCACAAACACCACCAACAGTGCATACGTATGGATGGATGGGCGCTGTGAGAAGTGCCCTCTTCTTTCTCCGCTAACGGCCGGTCGAAAGACTGTCGTTAGTTCCGGGTGCGCATCAGGTCGTCTCAACCTTTTTTGCGCGAAAAAAAAGTTATGATCTCCACCAACAATAAAAGTCCATCTGGTAGCAGCGGTGCAGGCACTGCTGGGTTCGACCAGGGTCGTTAGTGGTATTTTTGCTGTTCTCTGCTCAGTCAGTATCGTTTAACGTCTACATTCCCAAGCTTGGGTCTCTGTTCCCAAGTTCGGTAGAGTTTGGTCTCTATTGACCTAAATTCACTTTTTCTGTTCCTGTCATTTTCTTTCGCATGGCCCACCCACCCCTTGCCCGACAGGGTCTCAAATGCTGATCTCGAGACACAGTGGTCAGAGGGACGAGAGTGGGTGTGTTCTCGAGAGTTAATCCTTGTCTTCTCTCTGCTCTCTTCTCTTGCCTTTCGCCGATGGGGTCCCCACGATAAGGCCAACCGCGATTGATTGTTTTTCTTTTTCATCTTGCTGCCTGAGTGGACTAAAGAGGCTATCCGTGCATCCGGCCGCTGTATGGGAGACAATGGGTGCTGCCAGGGAATGGGCATGACCATAATGCTTGCTGCGGTGCCTATGTGACAGCATTCGGGGATTGAGAGCGGCGGCGAGGGTGCTTTTTCTATGCTCTCTCTGGCCTCCTTACGGAAGCATGTCGGGTCTGACTCACTCTCTTGGCCTCGCTCTTTTTTCGTATTATTTTCTTTTTTATGTTCTTTGATCTTATTATTGTGTGCTCATGCTTTGTTTTGTGGGGCACCCATCGTGTAGGTGCGCATCCAACACGGACGGCAGCGTTGCTGAAAAAATTGAGTGCAGTAGTTCGTCCGTGGTGGTTTTAGTCAGTCATGTCATATTCTTTTATTGTTGTCACTAGCTTCCACTTCCTACGGTTAACGCCTAGCTCGCGCAGCGTTGCGCATCCTCAACGGCAAGCAGAATATAAAGTACGCATGATGTTGCGTCGTACGTCATTCATTCATGATGTGGGTTGATGATTGTTGTGACACAAGTAAATGCGAGTTCGCCCGGGCGTTTTTTGTTCTGCCGAGTGAGAGGGACTAAATTGCCCGTCCTCGTTCTGGTGGTCGCCTTCATGCGGGTGTGATAGTTCGTACTGGACAGATCATCAAGGAGCATCATTAGCGAGGAGTTTGTTGACAGCATCGAGTCCTTCGCCACAAAAATGCACACAGTAGGTGGCCCGATATTAGAGTGGCACGTAGGAGCAAGAGGACAATATGCCACTATTCAGGGCAGTGCCATTCTTCGATATATCGATATATCGGGTTCATGTACATGTCGAGATTGTGACAAGAGATTTTGATGGCCACTATTCAGGTTGCCACATCGGGCCACACACATGGATGGGCGTTCTGAGAAGTGCCCTCTCTCCCCGTTGAGAGCCGGTCGCGGCGGCTGTTCTTTTCGGGAGTGCTCGGGCGACATGTGTATCAGGCCGTCCGGCCGAACATCCTAATTTTCAAGCGTCTATAGGGTCGGTGTTGTTAGGGTTAGCTTCTTCGGGTTGGGCTTTGTTGGCTCAACGTTATACTGTGTGCATACATACATACATAGCTCGTGTACAAAATCATTTCGTTTGCGTCAGTTGCTGACTGCGGGGCCCCTCCCCTCCCTGCCGCGTGACTCTCCGTTCTTTTCTCAAGTGGAACGCGTGTTTTTTTTTTCCTTCGTTGTTGATTGTTGACGAATGAGGTGTGTTCACCATCCCGCAAGAAAAAATAAAACAGCAAGCTTGGGACTACTAGCACACCGATGATATTCGTCGGCTTGCTTTTGAAACAATCAACAAAGCAGGCTACCTTCAACGAAGAATTACGTGAAAGATGCAACGATCGGTGTATGACATGTGATCGTCGACCAAGCCAACGTCACGAAATTTAAAGCCGTACCCAGCTCGGTAAGAAATACCAACACAATGTTATAGGGCGGCCTTACCCTAGTTGTACCACTTCCTTCGTCCCCTCGCTGCCTCGGCAAGGCTTTTGCTTAGGCATGGCCCATAGCGAGGGGGGGATCTTTCTAGCAAGCATGGCTAGACTCACCCTCAACGGACGGATACCTTCTTGCTGCAGCGCACCCGCCGCGAGGGTCGGCACTGGTGCGTCAGGTACAAAAGTGCAGATGGACCGGCCTCATGGCCGTCGGTAGACGGCAATGTCCATCTTTGTTTTGTGCGCGAAAGGCAGGTGCCATCAGAAAGGTGGACGGGCACAAAGCAGGCTACCTTCAACGAAGAATTACGTGAAAGATGCAACGATCGGTGTATGACATGTGATCGTCGACCAAGCCAACGTCACGAAATTCAAAGCCGTACCCAGCTCGGTAAGAAACACCAACACAATGTTATAGGGCGGCCTTACCCTAGTTGTACCACTTCCTTCGTCCCCTCGCTGCCTCGGCAAGGCTTTTGCTTAGGCATGGCCCATAGCGAGGGGGGGGATCTTTCTAGCGAGCATGGCTAGACTCACCCTCAACGGACGGATACCTTCTTGCTGCAGCGCACCCGCCGCGAGGGTCGGCACTGGTGCGTCAGGTACAAAAGTGCAGATGCACCGGCCTCATGGCCGTCGGTGTAGACGGCAATGTCCATCCTAGTTTTGAGCGCGAAAGGCAGGTGCCATCAGAAAGGTGGACGGGCACTATGTACACGGCCCTCGGTTTGCTGGAGGGAGCTGTACTGTCTCAGTAACCTGGCTTCGCCGTCAAAGGAAAGGAGGGAGCAGGTGGTGACGAGCTGAGTGGGGTGGTTGACCCTTCGGCGCGAGG